GGTGCAAAGCAGAGGAAAGAAAGAAAAAGAGAATCAAAAAAGTAATACAAAGGGGAGAGTGAAAAAAAAGCCCAATCTCCCTTCTATTCAGAAAATGATAAATAAAGTTGGTAGAAAGACAACAATAGTAGCTTAATGCTAAGTGCTCTGTATTCATTAGGTAAGAGCAAATGACAGTGCTATATATATTTTTAAAGATTTTCATTTTTAAAGGATGCAGGATTAAAGCAATATATTTATTTCTAGTTTACGGGGTTCACCTGTTTGACCACTGCTGCCAGTGGAAAAGCTCAGTTGCCATGGAGAGAAGTCAGTGAAATATTATTTATCTATAATGGACTTTTTTTTTTTTGTCATCCAAACTTCTTTCTAGGTATTTAGTCATTACTATATACTATGCAACAATCATGTTTTAACTGGTGACCATTCATAAATGTTTACTGAGGCGAACAGAGCTTGATGACAGCAATCCCACTTTGAACACAGATATCTTTGTGTGTACCCTGTGCTTCAAGGATAATACAGTGTTACCAAAAAGACTTAATACATCTGGGCTCCTTCACTGTTTGTTGTTGGTTTGGTTTTTTAAATTGGTTGCTTCCCTATTTGCTTCCCAGTTTCAAGGTGAACAGAGGAGAGTCCAATGAGGTCTGATTACATGAGAGAAAGGGAAGTACTCCCTAACGTTTATGAAGCTGCCAGGAAAACAAAAGCTAAATCTTCAGTGAGCATCAAGTGCTATACATTCCTCCAGACACTATGCCCTTAATAATGCTTGAGGATTTATAAACACACTCTCTCAAACCAGCCTCACTGCTTCTTGGCCCTGCCGTCAAGCCCATTCCCTTTAAGACACCACAGTCTTTGTCAATGGAGGTAACACAAGGGTCTCTGTTGGTGCTGTGCTCTCCTAAAGACATGAAAAGAGAGAATGGCTTTAAAAGCAGCTTTGTTTAGGTGCTAGGGGAAGAGGTAAAAACTGGCACATTAAGAGAAGGGATACATCTAAGCTTCACATATGCTATATTTTTAAGTCCTCTCACAATAAATTTGAAAAGATGCCTTAAAGAGATAGGGATGACGTTTGAAAGTGAAGGGTTTTATTTGGGGAAGAGAGGAAAGAGCTGTGCAGTTTCTTTATGTGAATGCAAAGTGAGTCACTGCACAGTTATCTACTGTGGATTAATTCACTCTACAGTGAATCTGCTTGTCTATTCAGACTGGAAGGCTTAACTTGTCAGTGTTGCCATGAACAGAAGCTGTCAATAATGAATTCACAGCTGCAGGTGACACATGCCTTAGAAATTCAATTAGCCAAAAAAATGTGGTAGAAGAAATGGCTTTCCTAAATGATGTCAAGGGAGATCACGGGAAAAACTCTATTGGCATGTGGCTGTTCAGCATAACCAGGGCTGAACAGCTTAAATAAAATTTGTAAAACCATGCTCCCAGTTGCTGGGAGGAAGAGGGAAGAACAGCAGAGTTTCTGCTCGCCTAGACCTATTCACTGTCAGGGTCACGGGAGGGCAGGAGCCTCCCCACAGCTCCTGTTTCACCAAAAACAAAAGGCAGGGCCAACCTTTCAGCCGAAGGACCCCCTGATTAGCCTTCCCAAGACCCTTTCGTTGGGTGAATCTTTCACCTGCATGCAACATACTTCACTGGATGTTTCCTAAAAGCAAACCAGCCCAGCCTTGTTCCCCAAGCACCTCTTTTGTACTGTACATGCAGCACACAGGGAATATATCCAGGTGTGCAACCAGTTTCTTCCTCTTCACTTTCTAGGCTTTAGCACTGGAAGACTGTATCATCAAATATATGTTAATCTTTGAAACCAAACAGAAGTAAATATTATAATGACAAGCCTGAAACAAGCAGAAAATGAAGTAATGGATTTTCCACTAGAGCTTACAGAGCCATTATCCAAAACGCCTATGCACAGAAAACAGTCAGAGGTTACAGCCCAAAAGATACCTACCTCAAACGAGGCTCATTCAGCATATTCACAAAAGGTTTCGTCTATCAGCTTTGAAATGGACTAAGCATATAATTAAAACCAGGGGTTTGGTTTCTGCAAAACCATTTCTTTCATTATCTTCAATTCGCTTTTTATTATGTTCTTACTCTGCCGCAGATCTAACAGGACTCCTGCACCAACATAGGTAACGCTACTTGTGCTCTAGCAGCTGTAGGATTTTTATGGGCATTTAGATTCAGAGTCCTGTGCTCAATGGAAAGAGAGAAAGAAGTTTCATTCAGTGTACAGCATCACAACTAACGCTGCCCTATCTAAAAATCATATTAAACCAGAGATACACAAGATGACATAAAAAGCACAGGGATGGGAAAAGAGGTAATATGAAAATAGAAATGGGACCAGGAGAGTTGGGAGAGAACAAGGAAGTCTCATTTCTGAAAAATAAGCATGCCCTCTGAAAAAAACAACCCCCACCCCCAAAATAAAAAAAACCCTGTACCCATCCAAACCCCAGGAACTGCAAAGACTTTTAAACCCAGAAATGCCCTTTATCTTTTTTGCAATAGACAATGAAGAATGGGTAATGCAGAAGGTAAGGCTCTGCACTGCTTTACTTCTCCCCCAGGAGTAAAATCTGGTCAAGCAAATAATGGAACACAGACCACAATGCACTTCTTATTTTGAGGTATGATGTGCGATGCCAAACCTAGTTTGAAGCAAATAAAGCCTCTCAGCTTGAAAGTATTTTCAGACTTCTCAACAATGTCATTTTGCCAGTTTCCTCTCGTTTTCCACAAGAAACTGCCTACAGCCATTTGCAGCTGATCAACACCCTTTTCCATGAAAAGCTGACCACACCCCCACTCTCCCTTTTTATTACAAAAGCCAAATAGAATTTGAAAACTACCTCTGTAGCTCTCCTCACCCAGCTGCCTTAGGTCAGCACTGTGGGATCCTACATCCCATAGGGCATAGCAATATTCTCAGCACTGAAGGATAAGCATGGTAAAACTGCCAGATGTACCTGGGAACAAAGTGCCTTTGAACTCATGGGAGGCTGAGCCACAAGGCAGGCAGAATCAGGTCCCTTAGCAAAGCTGAGGCAATGGTCTTCGAAGGCCACAACAAAAAAGAGCATGCATTTGCTGAACAACACACATACACCACCACTGCTCCTCCTCTCCCACTGCTTTAGCGGTGCAAGCTTCAAGCCGCTTTAACCTACAGCATGCATCTGAGAAATCCAAGGCTTCTGCCTCCATCACACATGACAAATCAGATAGGTAGTCCTGGGGTCAGCAAAAACAGATGGAGTACAACAAGGAATCTTGCTGTATCAAAATAATTATTAAGGAAAGAACAATTTTAATTTCAGCCATCCCCTTCCCCTAAAGTTTCATAATAGTCTCCTACACAACACACCTGCTCCTTGTGAAGTCACTGAACTTCACAGCAGGGCCCAAACATAGGTGAGAGAGGCTTTCTGAACTCTTTGGAAAAGCCTTCCCAACCACTCTAACCGCTACCCTTTCCTTTTTCTCTCAAGTGAAAGCTAGAACAGACTAATCTAACCCAGCTCAACTGCACTAGCCTCTACCACACACTGCATATGATCTCTAACCAACTCAAGATGCACGAGAACTATACAAAAATTCCATATTCTCAGAAGTTTTCTTCCCTCTGGCAAGAGGGCCACTTAAGCAGCACAAGAGCAACAGCGTTATGTTCTGAATTGCACCTGCTAATCTGCAATACCTTGCAATCACCCTTGCTGCAACCAACTGAAATATTTCAACCTGGAAAAGACCAATCCATGAAAATGACCAAAAGTGCAGAACGAAAGACAAAAGAGCACCTGAAGACAGAAATCTAACAGATTCTAACTGCACATTGAAATCTAAGCCCCAAAACATTATTCATCTTTAAATGCAGGGCAAATGAAGAAGCTAGTGTTTCACTCTCAAGAAAATTATACATACTAGGAAGAAGCTGCCTCAGATGAGCAGGAATAACCAAAGGTTTACATGCAACACATTTTGGTCTTTGGCCCAGCTGCCACCTCTTCTCTGCAACAACTGCAGCTTCCCATCCCACATCTTTTGCAGCATCCCTCTCAGTTGTTGGCAGAGAAAGGACAAATGTAGTGACTTGAACGAAGGTATGCTTGAGCTTGCTGCCCAGGCTGCCTTCTGCTGATAAGAACAAACACATAGCAGAGTTCTGCTCCTTTTGCTCATAACTGGGACAAGAAAGAGGGTATCTTCTTTGCTCAAATGCAAAATTTTACAGAACTTTTAGGATCTTGCTTATCACTGAGAATTCCACCTCTGCACTAAATTTACTTAAACCCTCAAAACTTGCTCAAAAAGCATTTGATGAAGCAGGAGACAGAATGGTGTCATGCTTCCCGAGGAAGCTAGGCTAAATCCATCTAGCAGAAATCTCCAGGATGTTTTTTGTTCACATTAATACTTTCCTGAGGGTCTACAGTGAGATCTTACAAACTTACTTAGGAGAACCCTGTGGTGTTTGCATTCACTTATCACAAAGCCCCAAAACCTTCATCCTACCAGGTGACCACAGGACTCACTGCAGAATCAGCTGTCCCAATATTCAGCGAGGATTTGGGGCCTCGACCTACCACCACTCAGACTAACACTCTGCATGTAATAACCGGACACGCATCACCACTTGAACACCTCAGCATGTCATTTCCCCCTTCTTTTCAACAATCTTTACAGGCAAAACAAAAATCATAGCAAGAGAAGCAGTCTCTCTAACCATAAAAACTGCTGCGGTCTCACTGAGAAAACCACAGAATCACGGCAAGCATTACATTTGCACCATCCAGACAAGTATCTCACCCAGGTCAGCAAAAGCCAGCCTCAAAAATGCACCTTCTAAACACAGTAACGTGTGCACAGCCATCACTGATTCCAGTAGTCTCTGCCCTTCGATGACCTGTTCTCCCACAGCTAAACTTACCCTGCCAGCAACAGAGCCCCCCAACAATTGCACTCACCTCTATGGGCTCAGAAGGGATTTCCAATTTGGATAGTTTGGCTTTGGCGTTTGCCTTCAAATCTGAGATTTTTTCGTAGGGTTCTCCGTGGTATTCCTCCAGGAGCGGTTTGAGCTCCGGTGATTCAACTGGTGCCTGATCCTGGCCATCCATTGGTCTGACATAGGCAGTTGGTTTCTGCTGCATTGCACTGGTTTTCGATGGCAAAGGTGGGGGAAAAGTCTGAGAGGAAGGCTGAGTGGTGCTGGTCAGGTTAACGGCTGAGCTGTCCCGACTTTCCTTCTCCTGTGATCCTGTTACTAGGTCCTGAGATGATTTTGTTTGACTGTAGGTCGGCCCATGACTTTTGCTGCTGTTCTGTGACCTGGAATTGATGTGCTGGCTGGAATGTAAAGGTGACAGGGGTGCCACTGGAGAAGACAAAGATGACAGCAGTGGAGAAAGCGCCAAAAGGGAGGCCTGCAGTTCATTAGCACGACCTTCACCAACTGCACGCCTGTCATTTCTCTTGTGGTGAAAACCTGCATGACTTTCCTGACCACCACGATTGTGTTCTTGACCTTGGCTCCGACTGTTGGATAAGCCGTGACTCTTGGCGTGCAAACCTGAAGCTGGTTCTGTTCTTGATTGTGCCTTTTGGTAGTGAATGGAGTGGTTTGGAGGGGGAGGAGCTACAACCGTAGGTCCCATGGGTGGATGGCGGGTTGTGCGGTGGAATGAAGATGGTAATGTATGGCTGGTCTTTTCAGGGAAGTATGGGCGATCAGGCTTTCCTTGTGGGATCAGAGGAGCAACACTTTTTGGAATCCCTATGAGATTCTGATGGGATTTGTTGCTGATGAGCTCCTTGACCTCCTCATAATTGCCCAGCATGTTCTGAATTCGGCTTGACAACTCATCTTCTTTATTAGTCTGCAATAGAAGAACAGAGAGGGGGAAATTTAAAAAGCATGGCCCCCCACCCCCCCCCACCCCCCCAAGAGATCCAGCTCAAGAAGAGACATTCTTCAGGATCTTATTTTAATCACTGTGCATCACCACAAGTGAAGTTATGCAAGCTCATCTTGATCCTGCATGCAGTCTCTCCAAAGCAAGTAGGACTGCTCTAGTCAGTATTAGACCTTCTGAGCCAAGATTGCAGGAGTGCCTGCAGCCTCCAGGAACACTAACATCAGACCAGGTTGTTTCAACCACAGCTGCAAACAGACAGGCAGCCAAGCTGCTCTTCAGCACTCTCCCTCAAACTCCCAGAATACAGGAGGCCCCCAAATGAATCTGCCCAACACGAAGTCTGTACTGCACTTGCACCACCTACAGAGCTTTAAGTACATACTCTGATGAATTTAAGTTAAGCAGATGGGAAGACGCTGTGTTTGCATGCATTGTGCTCAAGTGTACTATACCATATGCAGAGGCCACAGCTCTCCTCTTCCACCCCAACCCTCTTTCCTCCTCTCCCTCTACCACAGGCCACCCTAGCATTACCTTGTAGGGTTCTGCAAAGAGGGGAGTCTTCTCAGGGAACTTGTCTTTCTCCTGCAGAGCCTCCTGATTCCGCCTCTCTCTCTCTCGAATACGCAGCAAGTTTCTGTCCTCGTTGTACAAGCTTTAGGAAAGAAAGAAAGGATGGATGGTTAACGCTTTGTGCCAGTGTTATCAACAAGTCTACTTTGTGCAGAAACCATGGTTTTCAGACAATGGTATACAACCAGCACAAAAGTAATTTTGGAATCCACAGGGTGGTTATAGCTGAAAAATCAGTTATGTCAAGTATTTAACGTACTGCATAGCAATGTAACATACAAGGTACAGCATGCACCCTTCTCAGTGATTTTTACTCCTGATACCATAAATCAAGAAGGGTGGGAAGGGAAAAACTATCCATGCGTTTAATTGTAAAACACAAACTGAGAAGAAGTCAACGTGGGTGATAAGCGCATGAGCTGGCAAATCCAGTTGCAATGATTGATGTGAAAACTACCATTCTTGTTCTCCTCCAGACTTCCACCCCAACTCTTCACCTGACAGTAAAAAAGAATCCACAATTTTGAAGGTGTTGCCACTTTCGGAGATTGAACTTTGCCTACTTTATAAACAGGCTGGAAAACTACTCTCTACTTTAAAAGGACATTTGGAAAGCTGCTTACACAGCAAACCATGTAGTTGCATTTAAAGCAATCACATAAATGAATTTAAAGAGAAGGTCTTGGAAATTTGGAAAAGACCAGGTTGAATCCCCCAGTTCCTCGTCAGCCACATACGCACGCACTCAATTTCACCAGCCCCACATCAAAACAGCAATAAAGCTGTGTCACGTGCACAGCAGGATGACTTCATGGAAAACCACATCCTTTAAACTACACCTCCTCTATGAAATACTACTGCAAAATAAGGGAATCTATTGCTCTAACATTTATGGACATTTGGGAAGAAAAAGCATGCAGGCATAGTATGTGGATGCAGGTTTTTCTGTCCTCTCCTATTTCTACTCTACTGCACAGTCTACTGCATACATACAATTCCTATATTCTTCTTAGTACACTGAACTCCTCAAGTGTCCCAGTTTGGGAGGGAAGAGCCTTGTCTTCCCCACTAGTGACATTTTCTCAAATACCACACACACAATCATCTACTAAAAGTTTAATCATCCCTAAAGGAGAAGTAGAGGACTGGCTTTGCTGTAACAGTTAACCAAGAGGTCTGACTACTGCAGAGGGGGTTTCCTGACTCAACGTGAGCTCTGGAAAACGATGCTGTCTGATGGCAAATTTCCATATATGGAACTGCAGCAAGGATGTAGTTGTGCCGCTAAGACAGAAAAACACATTCAGGGGTTAGACTGTGCACATTTAAAATAGTTTCCAACTTTGTTAGTGCTGAACTGTTTCCAAACATAGCAAAACAGAAGTTTCCAGTAAGCTCTATGTACTCCACTTCTGCAAACAATGCAAACAATTTTAAAAATTAAAAAAGGAATCACAGATCACTGATTCAGTAAATATACACAATCCTTCTGTTACAAACAATATATAACAGAAACATTTCCTCTGTGCATCTGATGTCATTTTGCATGTGAGCAATTTCATATCTATAATCAGTTAGTTGGTCAGTTGCTCTGTGTGTGCCAGGAAAGGTTTATGCAGCCAGATATGGGAGATACCAATGGCAGAAGACAAAAAGTTAGGAGGAATTGTGAGGCAAACTAGAAACAATCTTGGCTACATCTACTACTTGAAATTGTGCGCGTGCCATGATTTTTTTAAGTGAATGCATTTCGAGTTGACAGCATTTTTTAAAACATATCTGTTCAAGTTTTCTGGAAAATTTTTACTGAATGAAGCACCATTTTCCAAACATTCCAGAAAGTAAAAAAGGATTCTGTAAATATCCTTTACATAAACATGAAAAACATTCTCTTAACAGCAAGCATGAAAAAACCACAAAAGATGGTTTTAACAGCTAAGATGCTGGCTTTTAGGATGAAGGAGACCTCTGAAACCTCCTCTTCACCGATCTGTGACACCATGGCCCAGTGTCAGGAACACCGATGCCAGCTGTAGAACAAACTACTTTTGTTTGTTTGTTTGGGTTTTTTTTGTTTTGATAGGCATGATTTAATCTGGATCAGTCAGCTCATCTTCCCCACTGGTCCCCAGTCCATTTTCCCCGTGGCTGCACAAGCACTCAAGCCAGTGGGGAGGGCAAGGGAACAAAACCACTGCCCTTGGTGGCAGTCCTCACTTCTTGCTGTTTCCCAGCCCATTCGCCCTGCAGTCAATATCCTCCCTTAACAAATTACACAACTTTCTTGCAAGGAGCTCTTCTGATGTGTTTGGGCTAATCAAGACTTACTGCAACCAGGTGCTCAGCTCCAACTCTCACCCACCCGCCTTGACTTTTTCCTCTTGAAACTACCACCAAATATGTTTTTGAGCCTAATGATAGTATTAAGTGCAATTCTGAAGGTACAAAAGGACAATTTTTAGTTTTAACTCCTCCTACTTGAGCATCAGCTGTTTTCGCAGTCATGTTTTTCCCTGTCAGTTCTTCAGCCATAGTTTTCATCATTCAATACACAGAGGGACATACCAGAAGACACAAAGGGGATCTACTTTTTACAAGCGTGACAACTGTGTTAAAGAGAGCAAAGTTCCTTCACCCGCTTCATGTCTTTTGATACGCATGTACATTTTGGTCTGCACAACACTGCCAACATCTCAGCTTGCCCTGTTACTAGTTCTGTCTTGATCCACACCATGAATGCCAACCACTCAGATCTACACAGTACTTTTTAATACAACTGCAACATTAAATATACATACTTGTTTTTGTTTGTTTTCTCCCTAGTACTTATTAAATTACTCATGGTGTTGGCTGGAGTACACAGCACACACAGATATTATGCTAGCTTTCCCCAAAATAGATTTTGCTGCTGCAATTCACAGATTGTTGCGGCACACTTCAGACCCAGGCCTCCTGGAGACAAGCTGTTGAACTGGCATAGTTCTCTGATGAAGCCCAAAACGATAAGAAATGAAAGTGGTTTTAAATGCTCATCTAAACAATACCTAAGGACAAAAGCCAATCCATCTCCTTTTAAAACAGCTTGTTTTAAACCAGGTTGTTTTAAAATGAGCCAGTCTCATTTTATCTTCCCAGGTAAGAGATTGTTTGCCTCTTTCGGAGGGGATGGAGAAAGACATAAAAACCATGAGGTCAAACACAAGTCTCTTGGGGAACACTGTCAAGACTAAAAGAGTAACTTCTCTTCTAACAGACCCATTGCCAACCTCCCTAACAACCTCAGTTACCTTTCAAAAACTCTAACATCACTACTAGAGCATACCGCATCACTTTATAATCTGCATTATTATTTATTATTGCACATGCAATAGTATTTGAATACTTGAGATCTTTCAAGGTGAATTACTGTAGTAGCAGCCATTCCTATAAAGCACCAAGGACTTTGAATAACAGCCTCCGCACGCTACTAGGATGCTTGAATCCTATCTTGTAATGATTTCACTACCCCCTGCTTGTCTAGCTTTCAGCAGTAATTTAACATTTGCTCCCCTGATCAGCTTCTTCACATAAGATTTCTTAGCAAAGTGATAATGTAGATCAACTTTCTTAAACAAACAAAAAATAATATGCAATACTTTAGATGGATCCAGTTAACAAGCTGGGTATCATCTCCACACACCAGACGGCTGATGTGGGGAGTCAGTGGGGATCCACATGTTCACCCGTGTTCTCCCTTTGTATGATAAACCTATACAGAACATGACTTGGTATTAACAGGTTTTTCCCTATCGTTGCTGGGTAAAAAGGATAGGAGCTGTAAACTATTCAGATTACTATTCTTGCAGGAAAATACAAAACAGCATGCCACTATCAGCAGTAAACCAAGACTGAAAAGCATTAGTGATGATCCACAAAGATCGGCACAACCACATGGGTATCTCCCTGGCTGGAAGAGTACTGAGAGGTTGAATCACTCCACAGTGAGACTCTGCTGCTAAACAAACAAGTGGAAATTCTGACCAACAGGTTTTGTGGTTTGTTCAGTTGTTTCAACTTGCAGAGCAGGAGGGTGAGCCAAAGCCCACTGAAATAGGCAAAAAAAATCTTATCAGTTTCAATGGACTTTGTGTTGGGCAATGCGAGTGCATTCTTCAGGTCATGCAAAACAGGCCTGACCTTGAGCACACATGAGCAAACCTCTGGCAAAATGAAGGGAAGTCATAATTTGGACACTATAAATCAGCTCACAAGGTGCAGCTTCTGCGCCTTTCAAAAAAAAACAAAAAAACAAAAAAAACAAAAAAACAAGAAGAAAAAAACCAAACCCAAGCAAAAACTAAAAAACTGTAACCCCCCCCAACCAAACAACCCTCAAATATTAAAAGTTTGAGTTCATAAATGTTAATCATAAACCAAAGCATTAGTACGTATTACTACTCATTAGCACAGTATTACTACTCATATTTCATCCTCTTTACCACAAACTCTCTTAGCAATAACATCAAGTCTTAATAATTAAGACAAAACAGAACATGTATGTGCACATACATGCACAAGCACAAATTTACTGGAAAGGATGCAAGCAGAACATCAGTCTGACATGTTGTAAGAACTGGGGAAAACCTCGTGAGCTATTTTATTTGTTGCCCCAGGATAAAATCTGTCAGCACTGGCTGATCATGATTCTTGTTTTACTTTATGCCTTGCTGTAAAAGTCTCACTAGATCTCAACTTAGAGCAAGAGAAGCCCGTAACTTGCAAGTAGTTTAAAAACTAACAGTAGCAATTAAAAAAAAAAAAACACAAACAAAATCAAACAAAAAAAACCAACCCAGGCCACATATTATGACCCTGCAAATTGTTTTCTACTAAAACACTGTGCTACATCCATGTGGATTACGGATATCCTTCTATTTCTGGGCTGGCAAGCATCCAAATTCAGAGCAATCAAGCTGTTTTGCTCAGAGGTTCTAATTACATTAACACAAGAGGAAAACCCTAAACAATTGTAACTTGTGTCTCTTGCAATAGTAATATGTACAATGAGAAGCAGCTATCTTTCCTATATGTATCCCAACACCA